ACTGCACCCACCTCCTGACCTCTTGGGGGTCCTGGGCCAGCACCCGGCCTGGGGGGACCGGCCACCTGCAGGTGCTTCTTTTACAACCGAACAACAAGATCAGGGGAGGTGCGGAGACAGCGGCCCAGGAGGATGAAGACGGGCCGGGCGGCCCCCTCCCGTGCCCAGCTGCGGGCAGGCGGGCGGCACCAGGTCGCCGCGAGCCCCGGGCCCGGCCTCCAGTGCCCAGGACCCCCGGTGCCCCCTGCCCGGGCAGTGCCTCTCCCGTGACACCAGCTTTTGTTTGCTGACGGACCTGAGGCTCGTGCCCCTCCTCCCCCAGGGCTGGACGCGTGCGGACGCACAGCGGCCCATAAGCGCCCCCCGCGCCTGACCCGGGGCCAAAGGTCAGCCAGGGCCTTCCGGGGTGCACGGTGGCTCCTCGGCAACCTCACTGCTCCCCGACCGTCTCCTTGGAGACTCAGAGGGCGGCGAGTACCCCTGGAGCCAGGCACGTGCATGCGCACCCCCACGTGCACAAGACACAGTCTCCGCCCAGAGAGGCCAGGCCGCTCCATCTGGGGCAGGACCAGAAGCAGGAGAGGAGCAGTGGGCTCCCCGCGCCCCACTCCGCAGGCTCGGGTTCCTGGAGCCTTGGCTCGTGTCGGCACAACTGAAGACCCCGCGGGAGGGAGGTCCCCAGAAGGCGCTCTCCATCTCTGGCTCCAGGGGCACGGGGTGGGGTGGGGGGACTCAGCGGGTGAGCATCCGCCTTGGGCTCAGGGCGTGACCCCGGGTCCTTGGATCGAGTCCCCGCAGGGAGCCCGCTTCTCCCTCTGCCCCTCCCCAGCTTGTGGGTTCTCTCTTTCTCTCAAATAAATAAATAAAATCTTTAAAAGAATAAAATTTGGGATCCGTGGGTGGCACAGCGGTTTAGCGCCTGCCTTTGGCCCAGGGCGCGATCCTGGAGTCCCGGGATCGAGTACCGCGTCGGGCTCCCGTGCATGGAGCCTGCTTCTCCCTCTGCCTGTGTCTCTGCCTCTCTCTCTCTCCTCTGTGTGACTATCATAAATAAATAAAAGAATAAAAATTTCTTTTAAAAAAAGGAAGCAGCAGACAAGCCACCACATGGAAGCAAATACTTACAAATTAAGTATCTGTTAAAGGCGACTTCTGTCCAGAAGGTAGAAGGAACTCTTATCACTCAAGTTTTTCAAAAACCAATTTTTTCAATGAGAAGGCCTGCCAACCCCGGGCGCCCGGGCGGAGGTGGGCCCCGCACCCTCAGCTCGGCCGCTGGGAGCTCGCCGGGCTGCCGCTGCCCCGAGAAGAGCCTGGCCGTTTCTTTTTGTTTATTGATTTTTAAAGATGCATTTATTTAAGGGACAGTCTGGGGCTCACTGGTTTAGTGTCACCTTCAGCTCAGGGCGTGACCCCGGGGTCCCGGGATCGAGTCCTGCATCGGGATCCCTGCATGGAGCCTGCTTCTCCCTCTGTCTGTGTCTCTGCCTCTCTCTCTCTCCCTCTGTGTCTGTGAGTAAATAAATAAAATCTTAAAATAAATAAATAAATAAATAAATAAATAAATAAATAAATAAATATCTTAAAAAAGAATAAAAATAAAAAAGATGTATTTATTTGAGAGAGAGTGTGCACGCGCAAGAGGCGGGGTGGGGGGCGGTGCGCAGAGCAAGGAAGTGGAGCCAACTCCAAGCAGCGTGGAGCTTCACGGCCTGGATCCCACGACACCCCCACCCCCTCCGCCATCAGGACCTGAGCTGAGACCCAGTGTCCGATGCTCAACTGGGGGCAGCAGCCAGGACCGCGCGGCGCCCGCCGTGCCCGGCACAGCTCGCTCCCCAAGCTCACGCGCCATCTGGATGCGCACACGCGTGTGGCGAGGGGCCGGGGCGGGGGTCTCCGCAGGAGGGGGCTTCGGTGGTGGCGGCGGCACGATTTCTTTCCTTTTTTCCTTGTTCCCCGGAGTCACCTGCACGCCGCACAGGGCTTGCGCTCGGCACCCCGAGACCCAGAGCCGCTGGCCCAGGGACAGGGCGGCCGGGCGCCCCTAACGGCTTGGTTCTTCATGCAACTGACGCCTTCTGTACCTTTTTTGCCTGAAATGTCTCACATATTTTATGTATTTATTTTTTATTTTTTTAAAATTTTTATTTATTTATGATAGTCACACACAGAGAGAGAGAGAGAGAGGCAGAGACACAGGCAGAGGGAGAAGCAGGCTCCACGCACCGGGAGCCCGACGTGGGATTCGATCCCGGGTCTCCAGGATCGCGCCCTGGGCCAAAGGCAGGCGCCAAACCGCTGCGCCACCCGGGGATCCCTCTCACATATTTTAAAGCAGACGCGGGAAGTGGGCCCGCGACTTCCCCGAGGCTGGTGGGCCCCTGGCCTTGCAGCGCCTCACTTCCACTTGGAAAATTGCAGATGTTAGGGTTCTCGTCACGGGCTCGGCTCGTCCTCTGTTCCACGGCTGCAGGGGCACGGGCCTGGGGCTCTCCCCGCTTCCTGCAGCGCCGCCCTGGGTCCCGGCCTGCCCGCCTGGCCCCTGGGATCCCCTGGGGTCCTGCCCCGACTGTGAGCCCAGGACCGGGCGCCAGGACACCGCGGCCACCACCACGGGGCGGGGCAGGTGGCAGCGTGAAACCTGGGGAGCGAGGCCAGGGCGCCCAGGAGGCAGTGCTTGAGGAACCCCGGCTGACACGGGGACGCCCGTGTGACAGGCCACGGTACCGAGTACTAGGCCGGGTGTGGAACTCTAGCCATTGCCAGGGGAGGGGCCAGTGGACTCCCCAAACCCGGGAGAAACAGCGGGTCGCCTGCCACCCCTTCCCTCCGCCCTCAGCCCCCATGTCCCCTCCCCACCCGCGGTCTCTCTGCCTGGGTTTCCCTCCACTGCTATCTGGGCTGAACACCCCTTTGCTTGCTGCCTCCTGTCACCACCCTGGGCCCTGAGGGTGGTTGTCTGGGGTCCCCGCAGGCCAGCAGGTGCCACCCCCCTCGCCCCCTCGGGCACTGTCAGAACCTGCACTGCAGAGGGTCAGCCGCATTCCAGGGGCAGGGGAGGGGCGGGGGGGGGCATCAGTCCCCAGCCCAGGCCTCCCCGAGCAGGAGCCGCCAGGCCCCCAGGGACACGCCGCGGGGACTCATGGGGGAGGCGGGGTGGCTCCACGGAGGGCAGCGGGCACCTTCCTGGGCCCTCATCCTGGGCCCGGCCCGGACGCCACGTGGGAAGGCCTGGCCCCTGGCTCCCAGCTCCCGCTGTTTACAGCCAGGAGTCGGTTATGTAAACAGAGGTGGCCCAGCCCCCCCAGGCCCCCACCCGGTCTGCTCCCTACTCCCCCCACCCCGCTCCTCAGGTACATTTATTCCAAGTCACCTCTTTGGGCTGTGACCCAACTGATCCAACTGAGGCTGCAGGGCAGGGTCCCCCCAGGGGCTGGAGGGGGGACACGACACACCTCCAGGGCCCTATGCCGGCCCACACGGGCACCCCACCCCCAGACGAGGGGGGAGGCGCTAGAGGGAGGGCTGGTGGAGGGGGCGTCTTCACTGAGGGAGGCAACCTCCCCCCAGCACGTGCTCCCCGCAGCCCCCGAGCCCCCCCCGAGCCCCCCACACACAGGCAGGGCCACAATCTCTGACCTTTGCCTTCTGCCCATTCCCAGAACCGAAACACAAAGGCTCGCCCTGGGGGTAGGGTCTGGGGTGGGCCGGTAAGAATTGGGGTCTGGAGGGCGGTGCGGACCCCCCGGGAGCCCCCCTCCTGAGTCCCCAGCGGGCGCAGAGAGCGCTGAAGACCGCCCACCTGTGGGCCGGCAGCAGATTGGTCTGCAGGAAGGGGGGCCTTGGGCGCTGACACCCCCTAAAGCAGAAGAGTTGGGTGAAGATCCCCAAAGACGAAGGACAGCACCTAACGAGGGGGCTGGGGGGTGTCCTGGGTGACAGCGGGTGATGGACAGAGGCTGACAGGAGGCCGCAGCCCCACACCAACACGGTTTGCTGGTGGACGGGAGCCCTTGGGACACTGCCAGGTGTCAGAGGCCAGTGGGTGAAGTGCCCCGGCGAGGGGAGCAGGTCAGGGAGAGGGCTCCAGGTGAGGCCCCAGGCTCCGGTGACAGGTGACATGCAGCTGCGGGCAGGGAGGGATGAGGGATGGAGGACGGAGGGGAGGGGAGTGGAAGGGAGGGGGTGTGTGCCTGGGGCCACAGACGCAGGGTGACTTCCTGGGAGGCTGTGACCTGCAGGGTCCAGGATGTCCGGGGCCGAAAGATGAGGCCCCTGAAGTCAGCAGGCGCTGAGCAAGGGCTGGGACTCAGGCCTCAGACCTGGGGGAGGCGAGGGCACAGGAGGGCGGCTGGGGGCAGAAGTGGGGGGGGGGGGACACGAGCCGGCCGGCGACCCCACGGCAACAGGAGCAGCGGGGGCCAGCGGGGGACCGGCCACTGGCCAGTGGGACTGCTGAGTGGTGCTGGGGGGCTCTGAGGCCCCCAGCCTTGCCCTCCCCCCGAGTCCAGCGTGCTCTACGCTGCCGGGAAAGAATGTCACCCGGGAGCCGAGGTGGGGTAACGGGGGTATTGGGGGGGCAGACCTCTCGGCAAATCAGCGGCCGGGATCCCAGGAGGGGAGGGTGGCAAAAGAGGAGGGGGCGTCCAGGCGCAGTCCCCTCCCGTCCACCCTCCTCCCTTGTCCCCGCGGGGAGCTGCGGACCCGCCTTGACCCTGTCCGCAGGCCTGTTCTGAGAGGAGGCGACCAGGACCTGGTGGGGGGGCTGCAGAGTGAGTCCAGGGGGGATCTGAGGGCAGGAGTCAGGGGGGCAGGTGCTGAGGCGCGTCGGGGCCGGAGGCGCAGGCAGGAGCCGGGCGGAGGGGCGGGCGGGGACCCTCGGCTGCCGCTCCCCCTCCCTCCACCCCTCCGGGGCCGCCCCCGCCCCTCCGCCTCCGCCTCCGCCGCCACTGCCACCGCCACCCAGCGTCCCCGCTGGAAAGTTTGCGCACCGCTGGCCGCGGAGCCGGCGCCGACCAGAGCTGCTGGAGGCGGAGGGCGGGAGGGTCGGGGCCGGAGCAGGAGCGGGCGGCGCGGTGAGTCCCGTCCCCGAGGGCAGGTCCCCAGAGCCCCCACCTGGGCGGGTGCGGCCGGGGCGCTCGGAATGGGCAGCCGGAGATGGCCAGCGGGGACCCCTGCCGTGGGTGGGCGGGAGGTCTCAAGGCCTGGGGCGTCGCCGTCCGCACCCTCTGGGCGCCTCTGATCCCAGTCCCCGGCTGCGCCCTTCCAGCTCAGCCAGGCAACCAGTGTGTCCCGTCCCCACCACCCCGCTCCCCGTGGGGCAGGCTGGGGTCTCAGGGCTTCGCTGCCCTCCCCTCCCTGGGGAAGGTCGCCAGGGCGCTTCGGGGAGCGCTTTGGGGGTGCTTCGGGGGCACCAGGCAGGCGGTCCTGCGGCTGCGGGGAGCCCTGCACTCCCCGTCTGGCACCCACCCCAAGGCCCTCCCCAGGGGCCCACATGGGGCCCCACGGAGCCATCCCGGAGGAGGGGGCTGGGCAGTTGCTGTCCCCTGCGGAGGGCCCCAGCCCCCCCTCCGGGACCCCCCCAGCGGCATCCCTTCCACCGGTGTCCCCGGCTCCCCACCCGGCCAGCTTCTCGGCAGAGCCCACACTTGTCACTTTGACCCGCGGGGAGGCTGGGTCACTGCCCTGCTCTCACCTCTCCAGCGGCCCCCACTGCCACCTCTGGGCGGCAGGGTGTCTGTCCCCACCTGGACCTACGGATCCCTGCCGCCTGGCTGCCCGCATCTTCCGGGCTGGCGCTGGCTGCCTCCGGGCCCTTCCGTGCTGGGGGATGAGGGCTGGTGGGGAGCTGCTCTCTGGCCTGCCTCCAGGTCACCGCCTGGGTGCCCAGGGGAGGAAGCAGGAACCGGGCTCTGTCAACAGCCTTTGGCCCCTGATCCTGCCCTGGGGCCATGACCTTCCTGCTACTTGCTCCGGTTTCACAAACACCCCCCCCACACACCAGCTCGACCCTTCTGAGCCTGGGAGTCTCCCCCCCAATTCGGAGTGCAGGGCAGCAGGGGTGACCCCAAGGTCATGACCCCATGGCCTTGCCTGTGGGTGGGCCATCCGCCCATCTGGGGGCCCCACCTCCTGCTCCAGGCCTGGGGGCCCCCCAGCCGTCCCCAGGGAAATCGGTGGGACCCTGGCGGGGCCCTGGCACCTAGAGATGGCGTGTTCTGGGCAGCCCGGGGCAGGGCACCTGCCTGCAAGCAGCCCAGCAGGTGGGGGAGGGCTGGGGCCGGGCCCAGAGGCTGCCCACAGACCCCTGACTCTCCCCTCGACCCCCTGCCCGCATCTCCAACACTGAGCTGCTTGGGATGGGAAGGTCCGAGACCCCCGGGGGAGCGGGACCCCCAGGCCCAGGAAGGGGGGAGGGCCTGTTCCCGGAGGAGGGCCGCCCCCTCCCCCCACTGGCTCCAGTGAGGGTAATAAAGTGGAAAACCCGCCAAGCTGGCGGGTGAGGAGGCCCTGGGAGCGCGCCACACCCAGTGCTCGGCAGGCTCGACCCAGGACCCCCCGTGATTCACCCCTTAGCCCTGAGGGGACCTGAGACACTGGCACGAAGGCCGGGCGCCCAGGTCACGGCCTGTTGTGGGCGTCCTGGCCCGGCCCTCGGTCACGGGTGCAGGCCAGGCCCTGTGGAGGCCTCCTCACCCCACAGCCACTTGTCCCAGACCCAGGCTGAGGGCTCAGGAGCCACAGAGTGAAGGCCTCTAGGCAGAGGTGACCGGCAGGTGGAGAAGGGGTGGGCGGCACCCAAGGGGCTTTATCTCCTGCTTTGGATCAGACGCCCCTGTCTGCTGCCCTTCCCCTTGGTGGGGGGGGGCGCTGGGCTGGCCTGCAGGGCAGAGGGGGGAGGAGAGGTGGGCGCAGGGGCCCGAGAGGCTAGAGGCTCTGGGGGCAGGAGGGGATGGGGAGCAAGGACACTGCCCAACAGGATGCTCCCTGCCCAGATGCCCTGCAGCTGGGGCGGGGGTGGGACAGCAAAGCTGTGGCCCCCAGGAGCTCAGGGCCAACTGACAGCCCCCAGACCACAGCGTGGGGGCGCCTGTGGGGGCTGCACCCCTGCTCACCCGCTGGAGAAGCGGGAGCCCAGCATGTGCTGACCCTCGGCTGTGCCAGGCCTCGGGCCTCAGGCCCCTGCCCGGGGCACCCTGAAGTGAGGCTGGCCCGCAGGATAGGGCGGGTCACCTGCCGGCCCCTTTCTGGCCCCGGGACCAGGGCCCATAATTTGACTTCTCAGGGCCTCATTCCCTTGCGTGTCTGGTGGGGGTCCCTGCTGCCCCGTCATGAGGCGTCAACGAGCTTTGCCACCTGAAGAGCAGGGTGGACTGTCGTTTCCAGGGCCCTCCCTCCTGTGGGGGCCACTGAAGCCCCGTGAGCCCCAGGACGACCCTGTGCCAAATGAATGAGGTGGACACCCAGGGGCCCAGCCAGGGGCAGGGGTGCGGCGCGCGCCCAGGGGCCTCCTCGGCCAGCTCGCCCCAGCTCCACCCACTGGACCCTGATGGGCGAGGCTGAGCCCCTCCACCTGCTGCGGCCTGACCCCTGGCTGCTCACTGTCTTCCGGCCCGCTGGCCGTCCGTCCATCCATCCGTCCGTGTGCGCACTCGTCCATCCATCCGTCACTTGCTCCCTCCTTACCAGGGTGCCAGAGAAGGGCCCCTCCACAGCCCTGGAGTCATTCCCGCAGGGCCACACCCAGGCTCGAAGGGGCCCCCCCCGCACCCCTGTGGAATTCAGTCAGAGCAAAAGCAAGCAAGGAAAGGAGAATTAATAGGGCCTGGCGCCCCAGATCTCCACCCAGACTTGGGCCGGGCCCAGGGCAGCCCTCCTGCTGGCACCACCAGGGCTGGGGGCCCGCGCTGGGGGCCTGGCGCCAGCACTAATGATCTCGAAGGAATATGCCGCCAGCCACCTGCACGATGTGCCCCAGGGGACCCCGGAGGCCGGGCCTGAGCCCCAGGAGGGGCCCGGGGGTGCACCTAGATCCCCCGTCCGGGGAAGGGGCACGGGAGGGACGGGGCCATCCGGAGCAGGTGCCCTGGGCAAGGCCGGGGCTGGCTCTGTGATGGATGGTCCTGGCACCGCCCCAGCCCAGCTGCCTTTCCCAGGGGCTAAGAATAGGTGGGGAGGACGGCAAAGGCCGAGGGAGGAGGTGGATCCCGGGAGGCTGCTCCTCCTTCCGCCGGCGGCTCTGCCACCCGGCAGCGTGGTGGCTCCGCCAGCCAGCACCGAGGGGCGGGCTCCGGGCTGTCAGAGCTGCAGGGAGACGCCACCACCGGCCGTGGGAAACCCAGCCCGCCGGGCGGTGGGACCCCAGCCCCGTGACTGGCAGCGAGGGACTACTTCTGGCATCTTCTCCCTCCGGCTCCCACTTCATCAATAGGCCAGGAGGCTCGGGGGGAGGTTTGAGGGAAGGAGGGCAGCCCGCTCGTCACAGCAGAGCCCAGCCGGGTCTCCTCGCTGATGGGGGTCCCCCCACAGGCCCTGCCGCTCTGACCGAAGTCCACAGAGGAGCGCGTGTGCCCACGAGGACCCTTTGCCCCAGCTGTGTGGCCCCAGCCAGATGTGGGGGGAGGCTGCTCAGAGGCATGCCCCCCGCCCGGCCGCACTGCCCTCACCTCCTCCTCCTGCTGCTGGCCTGCCAGGTGAGCCCCACTGCCTGCTCCCCCGCCAGCCCCCCGGGGCCCCACCTGCTGCCTGCCCCTCCGGCTGACGTGGCTCAGCCCCACCTGTCCCTTCATCTGTCCCCCCAGCCACAGGCCTCTTCTGCCCAGGTGATGGACTTCCTGTTTGAGAAGTGGAAGCTCTATGGTGACCAATGTCTCTACAACCTGAGCCTGCTGCCCCCGCCCACCGGTGAGCCCCCTGCCGCCCCCCCACATCCAGGGCTTGGCTGACCAGCACCTACTGAGCTCACGCCCTGGGAGCTCCAAGCCCCGTGGGCAGTGTGGTAGGGGAGGCAGCCCACGAACCCCACCCAAGGCCCGGGTGGGGGGGAGGTGGGCTCCGGCAGGGACAGGACACCCCCTTCTATACCAGTTCTGAGGGTCCCTTAGGGTACGGCAAGAGGTCGGGATGGGTGGGGGTAGTCGCCAGAGGGCAACTCAGAGCCATCGTCAGATGGGGGCAGGGGCTTGCGCTGGGCAGAGGAAGGAGGGGGTTTGAGCCACAGAGGTCACGCTGGAGCCTGGAAGGAAGCCACAGATCGGGGTGCAGCCCCCACAGCGGGGAGCACTGCAAAGGGGCCACTGGGGAGAGGGCCAAGCTCAGGTGGGCTTGGGGCACGTTGGAGACGGGAGGTGTGCGGGGAGGAGGCTGCTGGGGCCCCGGGAGATGTGGCGAAGCCTGCGTGCTGGGGCGCAGGGGTGATGCGCAGGGCCCCTCAGAGGGGACCACGGGGGCCCAGCCCTGCTGAGGGGCCCCGCCCCCGCCCTGCCTTACAGAGCTGGTCTGCAACAGAACCTTCGACAAGTACTCCTGTTGGCCCGACACCCCTCCCAACACCACGGCCAACATCTCCTGCCCCTGGTACCTGCCCTGGCACCACAAAGGTAACTCCAGGGAGGTGGGGGAGGCCGAGGGCCCGGCTGGGGGTCGGAGCTGACCGGGCCGCCCCTCCAGTGCAGCACCGCCTCGTCTTCAAGAAGTGCGGGCCCGATGGGCAGTGGGTACGCGGGCCCCGGGGGCAGTCGTGGAGAAACGCCTCCCAGTGCCAGCTGGACGATCAGGAGATTGAAGTCCAGGTCCGCAGGGGCGCCGGGGCGGGGGGGCCAGGGGGCGGGTGCCTGGCCCCCCAGCCCTGACCTGCCACCCTACTTTGTAGAAGGAAGTGGCCAAGATGTACAGCAGCTTCCAGGTGATGTACACGGTGGGGTACTCCCTCTCGCTGGGCGCCCTGCTCCTGGCCCTGGTGGTCCTGCTGGGCCTCAGGTAGGCCGCCCGCCTGGGCACGGCCCCCCGCGGCGGGCAGGGCGGCAGGCAGCCACTGACCCCCGGTCCCCGCAGCAAGCTGCGCTGCACCCGGAACTACATCCACGCCAACCTGTTCGCCTCGTTCGTGCTCAAGGCGGGCTCCGTGCTGGTCATCGACGCGCTGCTCAAGACCCGCTACAGCCAGAAGATCGGCGACGACCTCAGCGTGAGCGTCTGGCTCAGCGACGGGGTGAGCACCCCCTTCCCCGGCCTCCTTGCCCCAGGGCGGCGGGGGCCGCGCGGCCCGAGCTCATGCTGCCCCTGCGACCAGGCGGTGGCCGGCTGCCGGGTGGCCGCGGTGTTCATGCAGTACGGCGTGGTGGCCAACTACTGCTGGCTGCTGGTGGAGGGCGTGTACCTGCACAGCCTGCTGGGCCGCGCCACCTTCCCCGAGCGGAGCTTCTTCCCCCTGTACCTGGCCCTCGGCTGGGGTGAGTGGGCTGCGGGGGGGCGGGGGGGGGGAGGGCGGGCGGGGGGGGGCAGGGACCACAGCTGCCCGCTCCCCGCAGGTGCCCCCGTGCTCTTTGTCGTCCCCTGGGCTGTGGTCAAGTGTCTGTTTGAGAACATTCAGTGAGTACGAGCTGAGCGGGGGAGGGCCCGGGGCGCCCAGGGGCTCACCCCTCCTGGCCGCCGGCTCCGGTGGGTGCTGGCCTGGGGCTCTGGAGGAGTCGGGCACCGGGGGACGGGGGTCCTCCAGTCAGAGGATGCGCTGGGTGGGGAAGTGACGCTGCCCCAGGACCGGGTGGTTTCTGAGCGCCTCCCCTCCGTTCCCAAGGCCCTGATTGGACCCCCTCAGCGTCGGGGGGTGGGGGGGCCGGCAGGCTGTGAGCGGGCCCGCCCTGCAGGTGCTGGACCAGCAACGACAACATGGGGTTCTGGTGGATCCTGCGCCTGCCGGTCTTCCTGGCGATCCTGGTGAGGCGATGGGGCACCTGCTGGCCCCGGGAGGGTCTGACTCCGCCCTGCCTTCCTTGTCGGCCTGCGGGGCCTGTGGGGCCTGCGGGGCCTGCGGAGATGGATGACATCCTGCCTGGACAGGGAGGGGGCCCTGGCACCGAGCCGGGACACAGGCCGGTCCCTGGCTGGGTGCCCAGCGGCCCTGGAGCCCTGCGAGCGCGGCCTGTGCGGCTGCCAGGTCCAGCTACGGGAGGGTCCAGGGGGCCCGGGCGCCGCCCTGAGCCATGCCCTCCGCACGCAGATCAACTTCTTCATCTTCATCCGCGTCCTCCTCATCCTCATGGCCAAGCTGCGGGCCCGCCAGATGCGCTACAGCGACTACAAGTTCCGGTGGGTGCCGGGGGCGCGGGCCGGGCGGGGCGGGCGGGGCAGGCGGGGGCCGCGGGGGGGGGGGCGCGGCGGCTCAGGCTCCCACCCGCAGGCTGGCCAAGTCCACGCTGACCCTCATCCCCCTGCTGGGGGTCCACGAGGTGGTGTTCGCCTTCGTGACGGATGAGCATGCCCAGGGGACGCTGCGCTCCGCCAAGCTCTTCTTCGACCTCTTCCTCAGCTCCTTCCAGGTGCCCGCCCCGCCCCTATAAGCACCTGCGTCCCCCCCGCCCCCCCACCCCGGCCGCCCTGACTGTCGCCTCCCCCCAGGGCCTGCTGGTGGCCGTGCTGTACTGCTTCCTCAATAAGGAGGTAGGTGGCAGGGGAGCACAGGCATCTGGGGCAGGGGGGGAGCCCTCCACGTCCACCTGCGTTTACTGGGCGCTGGACCCCGACATGGGCAGCCTCAGCCGCTCCTCAGGGAGAGCACTCGACGGGGGTGCCCAGGCATCGGGGGACCCCTGTGCTCCACGGCGGGGCCAGCCTCGCTCGGCACCCAGGGCGCCCTGTAGTCCTCGGGGGAGGGGCGGGCCCTGGCGGACCCCGGGACTGGCCCAGCCCGTCCTCTGCCCCCCTCTGCCCAGGTGCAGTCGGAGCTGCTGCGGCGCTGGCAGCGCTGGCGCGTGGGCAAGTGGCTGCGGGAGGAGCGCCCCCCCAGCAGGCACCCCGACCCGGGCCGGCCCGCAGGCCGTGCTCCCAGCGAGAAGCTGCTGCTTTCCGGGGGCCGCGACCGGGCGGCCCGGGACCCCTCTGCAGACACCGGCCTGGTGGGCAGCCCCCCTGGGGTGGCCGCCAGCCCCTTCGAGAGCCCCCAGGAGCCCCCCGGGGCCCCGGTCGGGGCTGGACTCAGGTGCTGAGAGTGGGCCCCGCGGGACAAGCCCGAACCCAGTGCCGGCCTGGCGCTGGCCTCCCTTCTGCCCCCTCTGGGGGGGCTGGCGCGGGTGGAGGCGGCTCGGGAGGCCCAGGACGCGGTCTCCTCCGACAATAAAGCGTCTGCGGAGCGGCTGCCTGGCACACCGCGGGGAGCTGAGGCGCCGGAGGGGCGGCGGGCCGGGCAGGGCCCGGGAAGGGGCCTGCTCCCTCCGGAGTCCCCCTTTGGGGTTAGGGGAGCTGGAACCTCAGAGCGGGCCCCAACACCCTCTCGGTCAGAGCCCCCGACCCCCCGAGAGCCAGCACCTGCCAGCACGGGGACGAGCGGGGTGGCTGGCAGCGAGGGGGCCGCCCTCAGACGGCTCCCCAGGCCGCAGGCCGCCGCCCACACGGCAGAGGAGGAAGCCCTGGGCCCAGGGCAGTGGCAGCAGCTCCCCAGACCCCACCTTCCCCCGGGGGGGCCCCCCCCCGGCTCGGCTCAGCACAAAGCGGAGCGTCCCTGCCGTCCGTCCAGGGGACAGCGCCGCTGAGGCAGGAGCAGGTGTGGGCCGTGGTCCCCCGCCAGGGTGCCGGAGCCGGTGCTGGGACGGGGCGGCGGGAGGAAGAGCCAGCGCCGAGGGCAGGCCGCCTGCCGGCCAAGTGTCCCCTCCAAGGGGCCGGGGGGAGGGACCACTGAGCCCCGGGGGTGCGGGCGCTGCGCCGCCCGGGCTGGAGCTGCTCGGCTGAGCCAGGCTAATTGGAGAAAATGAGAGGACAGAAGGCCTCTCAGGAAAGGTAAATAAAATTAGTCACCCCGGCCCTCCTGAGGGACCTTCACCCCGCGCCGCCCACGCCACTGCAGGCCGGACGGACAGCCAGGGGGCGGGGGGGGGGGGGCGGCACGGAGGGGCCGAGGCTCGTCGGCGGAAACGGAGATCTTTTGTGGCCCCGGGACTCCTGTGATGCACGGGGGCTGCAGACCCCCGGAAGAGGGAGGGCCCGACCGCAGGCCACGGCTTCCCCCAGCCCACGTGAGCCCCGGCCCCAGGGCCCTGCCGGCCCTTGATGCCTGGAAGCCCACGAGGGCACAAGTTAGTACGGGACAGTGGCAGTTCTCCTTCACGCCAGCTGAGCCCGGGGTTGGTGACTGCCGGGGCGGCGTCACCCACCCAGTGGCCTCCTGACAGCCCTCCCTACCCTGACTCCCTGCGCCCTTACCCTCCTTCACCCTTGGCCCTGTCCCCAAGGGAACCGGAGCCAACCGGGAGAGGGGAGGGCGGAGGCAGAGGCCTGGCGGGGGCTGGACCTGCCCGGCCTACTGGCCAATAAGCATTGGCTCCGACGGGGCGGGGGGGGGGGGGGGGGGGGCAGGTGGGGAGGCGGGGGCGCGGGCCGCTGAGCCCAGCACCCACATGACAGCCCCTGTCCAGGAAAACGGGCACCCCAGGCCCTAGGGCTCTTCCGTTGCCTCTGCAGTCCTTCACCCCAGGCCCCCAAAGGACTATACGGATCCTGCCGCGCAGGTGTGCACACGTATACACACGTGCTACTAAACAGTGTGAGAAACAGCAAAAGGGAAAACCTGGACTACAATAAACAGCGATCAAAACACAACAAAACAAAAAAACAATAAACAGGGATCAGACCTGGGAGAGTGGGTCACCCCCAGGAGGGCAGCTGAGTGCATCACTGGGCAAGGGGACATCAAGCAGGCGGCAAGCTCTCCCAGACACCCTAAAGGGGACCAGAGTAACTAAGTACACTGACGAGAAATTTAAATGACCTGGTGGAGAGTTCAAGACGTAATTAGTGTTAGTACATAAGAAACTAAGTAAATGAAAAAAGAAGGCCATTAGTAACTTCAAGGAAAACAAAAAGTCGGGCAAAAAGTCATAATTCACCACATGGTTTAGCTCTGAATTACAAACACAGACATCATAATGTAAATACTGCAGGATGATGTAACCAAAAGAGCCATCTAGGGAGGATGGGGGGGGAAGGACGTGTGCATAGTGGCAGCGGGGACAAGAATGAAGTAGGAAAACCGAGAGCGCTGTGTGCTTGCCATCTAGAAATAGAAAAACAATCAATCAGCCGAAGACTTGGAAATGGTTGTCTGTGGGGGGGGGGGAGGCGGCTGGTGCACTCCCCACACGGCCTCCCCTCTTCCTGGACGCTCCGACAGCCTCAGCCTCCAGCCCGGCCCCCCCCCCCCCCCCCCCCCCGCTTGCCTTCCCTGAGCTATTTGTACTGCTCAGTCCCCTTCCCCCCCACTACCCCCTCCCCTCCTCGCCCGCAGCGCCCGGAACAGTCCACCTTCTTCCCTCATTCTAGGTGAAAACTACCACTGTCTAGACGATTCCCCATCTCCAGCCCCTGGGCCCCCCAAATCTGCACCTCCTAGAGTTCCCCAAGCCCCCCACTCAGCTTCCTCTTCCCAGGGTCCCGAGGTAGGTCGCGAGGTAGCTCGGGGAGGTCTCTGCCCGCCCCCCCCTCCAGTCTGTTCCCCACATGACAGCCAGAGCAGTCATTTCACATCCAAGGTGTCACTCCAGGAATCCCATGGAGCCTCCAGATCTCTTATTTACAGAAATGCAGGGGACAGGACACCCCGGGTGGCTCAGCGGTTTAGCGCCGCCTTCAGCCCAGGGCCTGATCCTGGGGTCCCAGTCGGGCTCCCTGTGTGGAGCCTGCTTCTCGCCTGTGTCTGTGCCTCTCTGTGTGTCTCTCATGAATGAATGAATGAATGAATGAATGAATGAATGAATGAATGAATGAATAAATAAATAAAATTAAGAAACGCAGGGGACAGAGAAGCCGTTTGCCAGGATGTGACCAGTCAAACCTGGAATTTGGGAAACTCCATCTTGAAGCAGCCAAGGGCCCTTCAATGCATAGACGGGGCACGTGGGCAGTGGACACGGCTACGCCCGGCCTTCCCGCCTCGGGGCCATAACCCACAGGTTTAGGTGTCAAGAGAATACGGACTTGGGAGCAGGTATTTGGGGACTGCTGTTCACGCTCAATACACATAAACATGCTCAGAGCACGTGTTCAGTATTTACTGAATTAAAACTGATAAAATTAAAAGTCCAGGGACGCCAGCTGGCTCAGCGGCTGAGCACCTGCCTTCAGCTCAGGTCATGACCCCGGGGTCCTGGGATCAAGCCCCGCATCGGCCTCCCCGCAGGGAGCCTGCTTCTCCCTCTGCTGTGTCTCTGCCTCGCTATCTCTCTCATTAATAAGTAAAATCTAAACAAAACAAAATTAAAAGCCTAAAAATCTGAGTAGGACCCGTCTCTGAAAGGAGGTCACCATTTCACTTGCAGACGTAGGGTGGTTAGAACTTGCCCCACGGAGTTGTCAACAGTGATGGGAAGTGATGTGCTCATGTGCAGAGTAAACCGAGGGCCAAACGGATGCTCCCACCCTCCCTGCACCCGAGGCGGAGTCTGCGGCGGTGCCACGCAGCCCCAGGCCTGGTGAGGGCCCCCCCACACCCTGGACAGGGAGCAGCTGGGGCTGCCCTCAGCCCAGACAGCTCGTGCCCCTCAGAGAGGCGGGCCCTCCGCCCTCCCACCACCTGTGCCCCACCTCCCCCTCCACCCACGCCGGCCCCTGGTCCCCACGACCCCCTTTAGGGCCACACCGAGTGACCCCCCTCCCCCCGTCAGGGACGGCTGCACACCCCGCAGCATGCCTCCCTGCCCCTGCCCCAGCGGGGCTGCGCCCTCCTAGCGCGTGGACTCCTAAGCACATTCCCACCTCCAAGGTGTTCTTGGCACAAAGACCACAGCCTGAGGGCCTCCGCCTCCCAAAGCAGCTAGGTTGGCAGGGACGCTGAGTGACAAGCCTCTGCGGGGTCCCCTGTGGTCCGCAGGGGGTACAGGCCCACAGCTATCACGTCGCACAAGAGGCCAAGGAGGGGAGCTGTGGGCATCCCAACCCCTCAGCAAAACACCCCACAAGTCCCCGGGGAGCAAACAAGGCCACGTGGTTAGAGACTTGGCTCAGGGCCCGGCACCAGCCAGCGCCCACTGGCAGCGAGCCCAGGCAGCTGTTTATTACATGACCTGTCCTTCCTGCGCCCTGTCCCTGGGGAGCACCCCCCCACGCTGAAGAAGACACCTCCTGGAGTCACCTGTAGGGCCTCAGAATACTCTTCCAGGAAAGGGTGTTCCCAAAATAAATTCCAGTTTGGCTATCTGGGCCTGGCCTAGTGGGGCTTTCCAGGTCTGAAGGTCAAGTGCGCCTGGGTCTCTCTCGGGGCCCAGCGGCCATCCTTCCCCCGGGGCCAGTGTGTAGGTCCAGGGCCCCCAACCAGAGGGAGCTGGTCCCTTGAAGAACACAGGAAGGCTGCCTCAGTCTCCCTCCTCCAGAAACCCCCCACCCTCTGCCTCCCAGTGCCCCCCCCCAGAGGCTTGAGCACCCCCTAGAGGAACCCAGGGACCAGATGGAATTTCTGGGTTCGGCGGCCTGGAGCACGACCCTGGACGTCCAGCCCTGAGTGGGCTGCTGGGACGGGGGCCTGACAGACCAAGGGGCCAATCCAGTGCCACCCGCCTTTATTCACTGGCCCTTGGGCTCCAGTCACAGACACTTGGCTTTTGGAGGGCACAAGAACAACAGGGGACCCTGGTGACCACCCTGGCACGTAGTTCGGGGCCAGGATCAGCCCCATGCTCCTGTCCAAAGAGACTGCCAGGGCCACGGGGCCGCACACAGCACAGGGGTAGGCCTGGCTACCCAGGACCCTCGTGGAGGGGGGTGCTCGGTGGCATCGCAGGCCCGGAGAGCTGCTGCCATCCTGAAGCTGATGCAGGGGAGAACGGGCCAGGCTGGACAGCAGGGTGAAGAATTAGACGCTCCCCAATGTGTCCGGGATGGAAAAGCAGCAGAGGGTGGGGGGGACACAGGGAGTGTGAGAAGGGCCACCTTACGGACGAGCCTAGGCCCACCAGCCTGGGGGACAGCAGAGAGCCCTCATTGCCCTCCTGACCTTGGAATAGCTGTGGGGGAGGGGCGGTGGAAGGTGATGGGAAGCAGAGGGGAGTCAGGGTCAAGGCCCTGGGGTGGGGGCAGAGCACGTAGCTCTAGACACAACCAAGGGGAGAGCCGGGGCTGGCAGGGACAGGGGCAGCCTGACGGCCCCTGAGAAGAAAGGAGGGGGCTTGGGGAGGAAGGGCAAGCCCTGGCCACCGACCATGCCCCTCCTGGTCCTGGGGTTGACAGCCCCGCGGGCGCACACCCCCCCCCCTTCCCGGGAGCTGGGCCCACAGGAGACCACCATGAGGCGGCACCCGGTCTCCCAGAGGCCAGGGGAGGGACCCCAGTGCCCTTCAGGACTTCTTGGCGTCCGGCGTGTTCCGGCGCTTCAGGTCACTCAGGTCGATGGGCTTGAAGGCTGTGGGGGGACAGAGTGGTCAGTGGGGGCACAGACGGGAGGCGGGGCCTGTGCCCCAGACCACCTCCCAAGTAGAGGGGCCTTCCTGCCCACCCCCCAGCACTGCCCCTGGCCAGGCCGCTCCCTGCTAGGTCCGCTCCTCCACTCACTCTTCAGACTGGGGTTAGGGACCTTCTCCACGTACTCCTCCACCAGGCCCCGCTCGCTGCCTGACATCTGGCTCCGCAGATCTCGCTCCACGCCCTGCCAGGCTGCCAGAAGCAACAAGGTGGCATCAGAGCCCCCAAATGGCTGCATAGCGGGCCAGGTCCAAGCAGTCAGCCCCGCACCCCTCCCCGGCCCTCCTCCCGCCCCCCACCTCGCAGCCTGCAGCCCCCCGCTGGCCTGCTCCCGACGTGGGGCTGTCCTCAGAGCACCCCTCTCCCCTCCCTATGCACATCCCGGCTCCTAGGGGGCCCGCGCGCGTCTGTACTGTGACCGGGGCCCATGGGCTCTCGATCCTCCAGATCCTCCACTCAGGCTCCGTACCTTTCCCCCTCCCCCAGCCCCTGGCTCCTGGCACATGGTCACGACACACGGCTGCCCCTACCTGCCCGTCCTGCACGCGGCTCCTGCCCCTGCAGACCTGCCCGGCTCCCATGCTCCTCCCCCGAGGGGCTGCCTGCCCCCACTGGCAGCACCAGTCTCTCACCAGGCAAGTCCCCGTGGACCCGGCCCCCCGGCTCTGAAGGCGGGGTGCAGAGGAGGAGGGCTCTGGGGAGCTCCCCATGTACCTTCGTAAATGAAGCGCACATTCTCCTCATGGGCCGGGGTGAAGATCTCGGTGCTGCTGGGGGGAGACCGGGGGCTACTGTTCCTCTTGCCGTTGTAGACGACTCTGGAGACAGGGGAACTGGGGGCGCCCGGCACATGAGGGCGGGCTGGGGGCAGCGGGGCCCACCCCCGCCCCTCCCCTCCCCTCCCCTGGGGGAGGCCGCGCCACTGCCCGAGACCCACCTGGTCATCGCGGGGGCGTCTGGTCCTTGCGCTGCACTGCCGGGTCCCCTCGGCCTCTGAAAGGGAAGGTGGGCCGGGAGCGGGACAGTCACTGTCTCCACGGGGGCTGCGGGGCGGGGAGGCATGGGCCGTCTACTTCCTCCCTCAAGCTCCCAACAAACTGCTCCGGGATCGTGGCCTACCAAGGACCCCTCCGGAGGAGGCCACAAGCCAGGCAGACACAACCCCATGAGGCCGGGGGCCAGCAACCTGCAGTCCACTCGGAGCAGCCGAGTCCCCAGCACCCCTGGGCTGGGACCCCTGCCGCCGGGGAGTCCTTCCCCCGCGGTTGGCAGCCTGGTGGCGCCAGCAGCAGTGCCCTGGGGCCCCCTTTCCAGGGGACAGAACACCCATCAGGAAGGGCTCGGCGACCCCAGGACCCTAACTCTGCCTTCCTGCCGCAGGGCCGGCGCCCTGTTTCCGCTGAGCCTGGTTCCCACCCGCAAAACAGGGACATGCATCTGGGTGAGGAGCCCGGCAGAGGCCAGGGCACAGGGGATGCAGGGCACGTGCAGCCTCCGGGGCTCGGGGCCCCAGCACGATGGGGGGCTGGGGGAAGGCCTGACCCAGGGACAGAGAGCTCGGGGTTGCTGCCCGTTCACAGCCTCCCTCAGCTCAGGTTTTAGCCCCGGGGTGGGGGGGTATCTTCAGGCTCAGTGTCACCCTAGCCAGCTAGACGTGCCCCCTCTGGCTGAGAACAGCACACGGCCAGGGAGCAGCCTGTTCCAGGCCGGCCCCAGGACAGGGTGCCCCTAGGTACTTGGGGGCCCTGGGGCCCCACACAGCCCACAGCATGTAGCTGCAGACCTTCCCAGAGGCCCGGAAAGATGGGGCGCTGGGGGTACTTGCTCCCTGCTTTGCTCGGTCGTCTCATAAATGATCCAGCGTTTGAATACCTGCACAGGTAAACACAAGCCAAGTTCCAAACAAGGGCGACCGAGCATAAGGCCAGCTTCCAGGAGGACACAGGGGACCCCGAGCCCACCCTGCCCCTCGCAAAGTGACTTCTTTCCCGGACTCCGGGGTCTCGCTGCCCATGGTCCTCTTTCCCAGGAGCCAGCCCCCCGAACACCAGAGCAGAGAAAAGGCCCGCTCTGGCCGAGGACACCCTGAGATACTCGGGCTGTCCTTAGCGGTACAAGGCGGGAAGCTCCAGGAGGACAGGCCAGCCCCTGCCTGCCCTCAGCTGGGCCCTCGTCATCTCCTGCCCCTCTCCCAGCTTATCCCCCTCAACCTGGGAGGCCCCGGCTGCAGGGCACCTGCCCTTCGTGCCTCCCCTGCCACGCTTCAGGCCTCTCCCTGCAGGGCAGCCTGCACGCCCCCCCCCCATCACAGCCCCTGGGGACCCCGGCCTTCATGGGCCCGGGGCCCTCATCTCAGGGTCCCCTACGCACCCTCTCAGGCTAACCCAGGTGCTCACCCTCTCAGCTCCCGCCACCCTGCCTGCACACACCTGCCACAGTGGGGGTCTCTGGACACCTCACCTGCTCCTCTGTCTCTGCAGACCGAAGGCCTCATCTGGACTGGCCCCAGGGCAGCAGACCTGCGCAGGTGTACCTGTGACCGGAGCACTTAGGCCCCACCTGGAGGACCCAGCCCAGCTGCCCCAGTTCCTGACTAAAGCAGCAGCATGACATGTGCTCCCTGTCCCAGGCCTGGGCCTCTGCCACCAGAGGCCCGCCCGTACGGACGTCCTACTTCAGTTAGGGAGGTTTCTGGTACCCTGGATAAACTGAACTAGGAAGGAAGAACCTTTGCCCGGGGTCATACATTCAGTGGGTTCTCAGAGCCTGGGGGCCAGAAGAACAAATAAAATGACATTTTAGGGGCAGCCCAGGTGGCTCAGCAGCTTAGCGCCGCCTTCAGCCCAGGGCGTCATACTGGAGACCCGGGATGGAGTCCCACGTCGGGCTCCCTGCGTGAAGCCTGGTTCTCCCTCTGCCTGTGTCTGTGCCTCGCTCTCTGTGTCTCTCATCAGTAAATAAATAACATATTAAAAAAAAAAAAAAAGATTTGGGATCCCTGGGTGGCACAGCGGTTTGGCGCCTGCCTTTGGCCCAGGGCACTATCCTGGAGACCCGGGATCGAATCCCACGTCGGGCTCCCGGTGCATGGAGCCTGCTTCTCCCTCTGCCTGTGTCTCTGCCTCTGTCTCTCTCTCTCTCTCTGTGTGTGACTATCATAAATAAATAAAAATTAAAAAAAAATAAAATAAAAATTAAAAAAAATAAAAAATAAAAAAAAAAGATTTTATTTATTCATGTAAGACACAGAAAAAGAGAGACAAAAACACAGGCAGAGGCAGAAGCAGGCTCCATGCAGGGAGCCCGACGCGGGACCTGACCCAGGGACCCCAGGATCATGCCCAAAGGCAGGCACTAAACTGCTGAGCCACCCAGGGAGCCCCTAAAATCTTAAAAAATATATACGAATAATCACGCACACCCTGATAAACCATTCTAGTCCCGGGTACGTGTCTGACACAGGGGCCATGAGGCCACTGGGAGGCACACAAGAGCGGCCAGAGAGGCGTCACTCATGAGCACCTAAAGGAAGAGCCACCAGAGAAGGTAGCCTATGTCGGGCCCACTCCCGCCACTGAAGTTGACACCGCTGGGAACATGAACCACACAAGAGCAGGCAAATCCTAGCACTGAGGCTGAGCAAAAAGAAGTGACCCAAAAGGACAGAGGATGGAAGCCTGGGGCCAGGAGCAGGCTGGGAGCAGCCCCAGCAGAGGCCGAGCCACAGAGGCTCAGGTCGGCAGGGACCCATCTAAGGGAACAGCTGGAGTCAAGCACAACCTGGACCTAAGCGACCACTGGACCAGCGTGACAAACCTGCTCAGCATGAACGGTCTCCATGGAACACGGGGAGGAAGTGGGTGGTCAGCGAGGCTGCCGTGGGGAGGAGCAGCTCTGAAGGGAGGCCGGAGGCCAGGCTGACCACGGCCATGGAAGAGGCAGGTGTGGAGGGGCCAGGTGACCAGAGCACTGGGGCCAGTGGCCAAGGACCCCTAGCAAGACAGGCCACGCCACGAGGACCACGGAGCCTCAAGTCCAGGAGGACGAAGGCCCGGTGCGCAGGGGGCAGGGGCTGCCGGCCGGATGCCCAGGCCAGAGACCCCCTCCGTCCCTCTCATCTGTCTTCCCTCTTCTGCTCACAAGGACTACGAAGCGCAACTACTTCCCAGCTCTGGGGGCGCCCGTGTGGCTCCGTCTGCCTTCAGCTCAGGCCATGATCGTGGGTGGAACTCCCTGCTTGGGGGGGGGGGGGGGGACTCTACTTCTCCCTCTCCCTCTCCCCTCTGCTCATGCTCCTGGGCACGCCCTCTCTCTCCCACAGATAAACAAATCTTTTCAAAAAGTTATTTTTTTCAGCTCTGGAGCTTAAAATCTTACTGTATCCACTTAGTCCCATCAACTCCAAGATACTTTTTCCACTTTAACGGTTTTGAAGTATCACCACACCTGGCAATTGCCAGTACGTTGACGTTTGCCAGTGTCCTACGGGTTCGGGTGACAGTGATGTGAGAGGCAGCTCAGTTCCTGGTGTCTCAGATCTAATGACACAACGATGGTCTCCCCTGGCCCACGATCCCACCCTTGGCAAGCCCAGGGCCATCCTTCCTAGAGCCGCCAACGTGCTCTCGGGCTACCTCTTCCCATTCGCAGCCTCCCCTCACCCAGCTACCACCCCGTACGGCAGCACGGTCTCCTGCACCACTCTCCCCGACTCCGGTCCTGACACCCCTCCCCAAAGAATCCCCCGCCTGCACGCCCTGGGCCCTGTGCTGCCATGGAGCCCCCAGTGTGGCCCAGTCTATTTCTTCAGGTGTCTCTGCTGGGCTCCAGCCCACCCCCAAGCACAGTCTCCGACACACAGCCCCCTCTGCCCGCTGCCATCACCACAGGGAGCCACACGCTGCCCCCCACTGCGCACTCCACGGGGCTCACGGCAGCCAGTGGCTATGTGCTGGGCACACAGCAAGGTCCAAAACGATTCTGTGGCTGGAGATCATCCGTCCCTTGCTCTGCTGCCTCCAGGGAAGCCCCTTCCCCCTCTGGGCCTCACAGTACTCATCTAAGCCAAAGCAGTCCCCAAGGATGCGCGCTAGGCTCTCCTGCTTGACAACAGACAGGACGATCACAGAAAGAGCACACCGTGTAACTGGGCGATTCTGGGAGTGGCAGGGCCATTGCTGACTATGACGCACAGTCCAGGACAGTGCTGGGTGCACCGGATGCGGCGTCAGCCCCTTCACAAGGACCTGGAGGCCCACGGACGCCCAGGACATGTGAAAAGGCTGCAGTGCCACCAGCTGCCACCCAACAAAGCAGGGTCTGAGCCCCAAGTGGCTGCCAGCCTCTGAGCCTCCAGGGCCACGGCAGTCAGGACCAGGCTCAGACACCTCAGCCGACCTGAGCACCCAAGAGCCTGCCAACGGCCTCTCCCACACCCGCTGGCAGGCCCCCTTGGCATCAACATGGCCCTGCTCAGAGACGAGGAGGGAGTCTCCCCCAATGGATAAGTTTTGTACCTTGCTCTTGCAGGGGAACCAAGGACTTTCTGAGACCTCCTGGGCGGGAGACAGGGCATGGGGAACCCGATGCCCAGCCTCCAGCCCCGCAGTCTCAAACTCTTTCCTCACACACAGCCATACGCCCAAGGACAGGAGAGGAGATGACACGCTGTCGTTCAGGAAAGTGACCATGAGTATTCTAGAGCTAGAATCAGTGATGCAAACGGTGGTTGTTCTGTCTTCCTTTGGAATTTCTGATACTCGAATTTTCTTGGATTCCACTTTCCCACGACATTCCTTGTCTCTGCGGTACTTGACACTTTCAGCCATTAAGCCTTCTAGAAAAAGATCTGCAGGGCAGCCCGGGGGGGGGGGGGGGGCTCCGCGGTTTAGCACCACCTTCAGCCCAGGGCGTGATCCTGGAGACCAGGGATCGAGTCCCACATCGGGCTCCCTGCATGGAGCCTGCTTCTCCCTCTGCCTGTTTCTGCCTCTCCTCTCCTCTCTCTCTCTCTCTCATGAATAAATAATGAAAACTTAAAATGAAAACTTAAAAAGAAAACAAAAAACTGCTACCCACATGGGTGCCAGAGTAGTGCTGCGCTAGACGCCCCAAGGGGCATTCCCCTGAAGACCCCGGGGCCAAACCTCGAAGCACGCCCTCGCCCCCCCTTCCTGGCTGATGCCAGCAGCTTGCATCCCAAGCAGTGGCCCTGAGCCTGGGCACCCTTACCCCCTGACCCAGAAACCTCAGCATCCCTTCAGCTCACCCCTGTGAAGCCTCCGTCCTGGGTCCTGGAGGAGGCTCCTGCCCGGCTCCTCCTCACTCCCACTGCTCGCTCTTTCTGTCTCTGTCTCTCTCTGTCTCTGTGTCTCTCTGTCTCTCTCTCGACCCCAGCACTCACTCGCTGCTCCCCGCTGACGGCTCGGGGCCTTTGCTCAAGGTGTCCCCGCCGCCCAACAGGATCTTGCTCATCCTTGGGACTCTGCTAAAAGACCCGCCTTTCCTTGGAAGCCTCCCGGGGCTGGCCGGGGGCCCTGGCGTCCGCACCTCCACACCCTCGGTGTCACGACTCGGACCCACACGGGGCGTCCACCCCGTCCGTGCAGCACCCCCGCAGCCCCGGGGCGGGCGGGCCCTGCAGACAGCGCGCACCCGGGCCACCCCGCACCCAGCCGCGCACCGGCTGGAAAACGGAAGGAAGGAAAGTCTCGGCGGGGGCGGGGGCGGGGGCGGGGGGCGGGGGCGGCGGCTGCACTCCGAGAGCCGCGAAGCATCCTCAGGAACGTCCCCTTTGGAAAACGGAGGGCAGGACACTTGTCCACCCCCGCGGCCGCCCCTTCACAGGCCGAAAAGGGCGGGCCCCCGGCGGCCCCGCGGAGCCCGTGTCCCCCGGGGAAGCGGGGCCCGCCACGTCCCCACGCCCCGCTCCTCGCCGCCCCGCCCGCCGCGCGCCCCGCGCCCCGCGCCCCCGGCAGGCCCAGCAACCCGGGCGCGGCGGAGCCCAGCCGGTGCCCGCCCGCGCCCTCCCCGCGCCCTCCCCGCGCCCGCCGCCGCGCCGGGGCGGGTCCCGGCCGCGCCCGCCCCGCCCCCGCCTCCGCCCCCGCCCCCGCTCCCGCCTCACCTCGCCCGCTCGGCCGCCGCCGCCGCCGCCGCCAGCTGGGGCCCGGCCGGAAGTGACGTCACCGCGGCGCGCGCAGGCGCAGGTGCGGGCAGCGCGAGGGCACGTGACGGCCGGCGCGCGCGCGCGGCGGGGCGTGGCCTCGAGGGGCGTGGCCTCGGCGGGGGCGGGGCCTCGGCGGGCGGGGCCTCGGCGGGGGTGCGCTGCGCGGCCAGGCGGGGAGTGGGGCGCGGGGCGCGGGGTGGGGGTCGCGCGCCCTCGGGGAGCGCCGCTGAGGGCTGGGTGCGGCGGGGTCCCGTGGGTCCGGGGCTGGCGGGCCGGAGACCTCACAGCCCGCGGGTCGGGGTCGGGGTCGAGGTCGGGGGCAGGTGGGGGGTGGGGGAACTGCGCCGGCGCTGTCCCCTGGGCCCCCAGCCTGGGTCGGATGAGCCAGGCGGGGGAGCAGATGGTCCCATCCCCAGTAAAGAGGCTACCACCGGGGCTAGGGAATGACATTTATTGAAAAAGTAAAAAGTGTCACAATAAAAAATTCACCTGGAGGAAAAGCCAGGCCAGAAGTGTGAGGGGTGGGTTGTGCCCAGGTGCGGGGTCCTGGGCGCCTGCCGGCCCCACCGGTGGGACAGGCCCTGGCACCTGGGGGGCAGGAGCCCCGGAAGGGCAGGCCGGGGCTCAGTCCATCTTGGTCCCTTGGAAGAGCTCCACCAGGTCCTTGAAGTCCGGGTCGATGAGGTCAGAGGGCAGGTCCCCGTCATCGTTGGTGGCGTCTCTGTCTGCCCCCAGGGAGATGAGGTACCTGGGGTGCAAAGAGGCCGAGAGGACGAGGTCAGGAGGAGCGCAGGCTGAGTCCTGAGGGGCATCTTGATTTTGTTTTTGTTTTAATTTTTCCAGGAGGGGTGAAGAGGAGGAAACCTGATCCTCCAGAAACAAAGGCTGATTTTTCTAGTTTGCTCTGGGGAAGGCAGGAGGGCAGGAAGGAGACTCGAGAAGCTCCGAGGGTTCCTAGCCGTACGACCAGGGCCCCCTTCGGGGAGACCACGTCCTGGAGCCCCTGGAGGCCGGAGCCCCTGGCCTGACCCTCTCACCTGGCTATGTCGGGGTAGCCGTCGCTGCAGGCGATGTGCAGGGGCGTCCACCCGGTCTCGTCCCGCTGGTGGATGTCCGCGCCGTATTTGACCAGCAGCTTCACGCACTCCAGGTTTCCAGAGAGCACCGCTTCATGCAGGGCGGCCAGGCCTGCGCAGGACAGGGCGCGAGGGGTCAAGGCCGAGACCTTGCCCTGACACCCCACAGACCCTCCGCTGGTCCGGCAGGCACTCACCTGACGGGTGGATGGTGTCCAGGGCGACTTTCCGAGTCCGGATGAAGCGCCCGACCTGCTCCAAGTCACCCTGGCGGATGTGGTCTAGGAACAGGACGTCATTTGGGAAGCGCACGCTGCGATCCGCCAGAAGCCGCCTGCGCCGCTGCCGGGGGCTGTAGCGGGCATAGCGGCTGGTCCTGCTGGGCATCCTGGGTGCCGTGGCGGGCCCACCTTGTGGGGACCCTGCTTCTCGGGGAAGGGACGTGTCCGGCCCGGGTCACACAACGCATGCAGTCTCTTCCAGCGCCACCCTGCTCTCGTGCTCCCCTGTGACCAGGGCACGTCCCTCTTATATAGGACTCGCAGCGCTATATAAAGCTGCGCAGTCATGCTCACGCCGGGAGGGGCTGAAACAGAGCAGCTCCGGCCCTGCGCTCAGGATCATGTTTAATGGCTCATCTTTCAACCCACCTGTTGCTGTGCCCCGGCCAAAGGGGTCAGGTCCTTCCTGGCCACTGTCGTCTGCCCCACAGCTGGGCCTAGAAGGTGCTTACAGAGGGCTGGAGAAGGCACTAGAAGGACAGGACCCATAAGGAAGACAAGTGGGTACCAAGGTCACGGAGAGGGCCCAGGCATCTCCCAGAGACCTGGTAACTCTGGAGAAAGGCCGTGATGTCTGGTGAAGGTGGCTGCTTCGACCTCCGGGAAAGCCAGGGGCTGCCCACAGCTGAGGCACAGGGCCCCGAGCATGCCAAAGAAGGGCCAGTGCCGTCCGTATCTCCCCGTCACTTGTCACCTTCACCAGGACCTACACCACTCCGCCCTCCGCCTCACAAACGTCCCAGGTTGGAATCTGAAGAAAGGCCTCCGCTCCCCGCAGCCCATCCCACACTTGTTTCCCTCGAACCCCGCCTCTCCCCTGGGTCCAGGCTCCTGCCACTTACTGCCGAGGCCACACGTGCTCCCACTGAAGGGAACGTCGGTCTGCCCTGCAGGATGGACCATCGCATCCCTAGGGGTGTGCGCACTCTGGCCGGCCCAGACCCCTGGGAGGGGCTAAGCGGCGGAGGGCTGAGCCGTCGCTCACTGTCTTCACCGCAGCAGCCACGTCTGGAGGTGGCTTCTGCTTCCGTGGGGAGAGGAGCCGGTGGACGTGAGCGTGCACGAGTGGGAGCATACCTGTCGGGTCGGGGGCAGCCCCTGCAGCCCGTGAGGTTGGCTGGCTGCGTTTGGTAGGGCTGCTGTTGCAAAGGACCAGACTGGGGGCTTAAAACTTTATTTTCTCATGATTCTAGAGACCAGAAGTCCAAGATCAAGGTATCAGCATCTTGGGTTCCTTCCAAGGAGAATCTGTTCCGGGCCCATGTCCTGGGGTCTGGAGGCGCTCCTTGGCATTCTCTCGTTCATAGACGTGTCCGCCCATCTCTGCCCTCACGTCCATGTGGCCTTCTCCCTGTGTGCGTGTCTGTGTCCAAATTTCCTTTTTTTTTTTCTTCAAGGTTTTATTTATTTATTCATGAAAGACAGGCAGAGGGAGAAGCAGGCTCCCCGTGGGGAGCCTGATGTGGAACTCGGTCCCAGGACCCCAGGATCACACCCTGAGCCAAAGGCAGATGCTCAACCACTGAGGCACCCAAGTGTCCCCAAATTTTCACTTTTTATAAGGACACTAGTCATGGGATTAGGCTCCCTCCTGGTCCAGGAAGAGCTCATCTTGACTGGTCACATCTGTGACAACTGTATTTCCAAATAAGACCATGTACTGAGGAGCTGGGGTCAACACAGGAATATTGGAAGAGCTTAGCCCGTAACATTGGTGAGATCCCCGTGGGTGGTCTCACCGAAGTCCTGAAGGAGGACAGAACCAAGATGGACCAGCACTTGACTGGTACTCTGCACGGGGGTAGGGCAGGCAGCCTGGTGACCAGCAAGCCTTGCATCACCAGGCTGGTTTTGATCCAACAAAACCAAATCAAATGTATTTAACACCCTCTAGGTGCAAAGCCTTGGGCCGAATGCTGTGCAGCAATGGGGCACCGCCTAGGACAGACTCCCCGCCCTGACAAGGGTTTCCCAGCGGTCTCAGAGCCTCCACCTGCTGGCGGGCCTGGCCCCGCGGGACCCCTCTCCCAGCCCAGGCCCTGCAGGGGCCCTGATACCCGCTGGTACCCAGTGTTCCTGCACTTTGGGGCTCTGAGTGTGAGTGTGGTGCCAGGTGATCTTAACTCCTGGTCACTTGGGAGGAGTCAGTGTAGCTGCTGCTGGCTTGTTTACAGGAGGCTGAACTTTCCTTTGATGTGAAGATTGCCTAGTCTGGTGCTGTGGAAAGTTCTGTCTGGCCTCCAAGAACCCCGAGTGAGGCCGCCACGGGTACAGCATTTCCCGAGAGCGACCAGCTTTGGGCTCGACTCAGGCCAGCGCAAACCTGTAGGCAACCCCAGTGACGAAGCCCCTGGCCCATCAGACTGAGGTGAGCCGAGAGCTTGGGCGTCGGTGGCTTTGGGGTTTCCATGTGGATCTGAGAAGGGACCGGTGCCCAAAGCCCCGCAGTCAACCACAGACCCCCTGGAAAGTACTTTGCTGTGCTTTTTGTTCTGCTGAGGACACAGGACGTCCTCTGAACCAGGGTGCGGCCTGGGGCGTCAGAAGCGGGCTGCGAGCATCCAACCTGAGACCGACCATCTGGCAAAGTGGATCTTTCACGCAGCCACAGGCAGGACCAAGCCTAGTGTTTATCCAGCCTTGTCCCTGACGCCCAAGTAAACCTGTGAAGTGACGTGGTTTGTGCGAGGTTAGGCTCTGCCTTCTAGGGAACTGGAGCAGGCCGAAATACTTAACCCAAAAAGCTTACTTTGGAAAAGGCCGAGAAACACAACTAGTCCTGCTTTGCGTCCCGCAGAAAACAGAGCTGGAGAGCCTGTTAGGAGAACGGGTGCCTGGCCCACTGCCGCCCGTCCCCTGCCAGCAGGCTTGGCGGCCGAGGACCTCGAGGGTCTGGTGCACTTCGGAGGCAGCAGCCTCCAACCACCTGCGGAGAGCAGAAGAGGAGGGAGGAGGAGAGGAAGAGGGAGATTTGGGATGTCCCGGGCTGCTAAGCCTTGAATGACCACCCTGAGCTGCAAAGTTGCCTGCTAATCCACCAGCCCGCCAGGTTTTGGACTCCACCCCGCAGCCTCCCAGCCAATCCAGGCCCTGGAATGTGCTAATCAGCTGCCTCTGCAAAAGAGGAAAGGTATGGGTGACTCAGTGCCTCTCCCGGGAGCACATGACAGCAGCTCCGGGCAGCGGCGCCGGGTCCCAGCTCTGTGCACAGGCCTGGCCGGCACCGCTGGGTGCTCAGGGTCACCCACGCCGTCGCTGGGGCGGGAGCGCAGGATCCTGACGGCCTTGCTCGGGGCGGGCTTCCTCCCCCGGAGGTTCTGCTCCCCCCGTGACCCCTGGGGGAACGGCTCACAGTCTGGAGGGCAGGGCTACCATCCTCTCCCCCAGAAGTGGCCCAGCTCACCTTTCTCTGGCTGCGTGTCGCCTTCCGTCAGCAGGACAGAGGCCCGGCGCGCCTAGGCCCCAGAGCGCACGAGCTGGAGACCAGCCCCAGGACGGGCCGCCTGAGGCCCGGGCTTCTGCGCTGCCGCTGCGCAGGGTCCCGCTCACCTGGGCTGGGGTCTGCGGAGGCCTGGGGCAGGCTGACACAGCAGGGAGGGCCGGGGCAGGACACAGGCTGCGACAGTGAACAGAGAACGCCGGAGAGCCACGTCCATGGCACGTCCTACGGTGGCGTCTCCAGCCAGGCACCGGCACCTCGAAGCCCCCCGGCACATGGGCATCAGCGCCCTGGGCGGGCAGGGCTGGAGAGGTGGGGACTTGTGCGGTGACAGGCAGGGCTCTGTAGAGACCCAGCTACGTGCGCTGTCCTTGACCCAAGGTGGACGGTTATGTCCACATCCGTCCCCCTCCCAGGTCACCAGGTGGCCCTCCTGCCCCTGTAGACAAGCTAAGAGAGCAGCAGATGCCAAGCCCTGGGGGGTGCTGCTGTCAGGGACGGCTACCCGAGGCCCGCCAGCCCCGTGTGGGGCTGCTCTCCTGCTCTCGAGGGGGACCCACAGGTGCGGCTGGGCACCAGGGCCCGAGGAGTCAGTCGGGCTCACAAGGCCCATGTGCCCAGGACTGCAGCTAGGCCGGTGGCTTCGTCTACAGGAAAACCAATTCCGATGGTCCTTGGTGCGAACCAAGGAAGCTGAGGTTTTTTTTTTTTTTTAGAAATTTTTCCTTTTCAGTTTTTTTTTTTAAGATTTTGTTTAGGGATCCCTGGGTGGCACAGCGGTTTGGCGCTTGCCTTTGGCCCAGGGCGCGATCCTGGAGACCCGGGATCGAATCCCGCATCGGGCTCCCGTGCATGGCAGCTGCTCTGCCTCTCTCTCTCTCTCTCTCTGTGTGTGTGACTGTCATAAATAAAAATTAAAAAAAAAAAAGATTTTGTTTATTTATTCATAGACACACACACACACACAGAGAGGCAGAGACCCAGGCAGAGGGAGAAGCAGGCTCCACCCAGGAAGCCCGATGTGGGACTCAATCCCGGATCTCCAGGATCACACCCCAGGCTGCAGGCGGCACTAAACCACTGTGCCACCGGGCTGCCCTCCTTTTCAGTTTTAACATTAGCATCCTAACATTTTTTTAATTAAAGATTTTATTTAGGGCAGCCCCCGTGGTGCTGCGGTTTAGCACTGCCTTCAGCCCAGGGCGTGATCCTGGAGACCCTGGATCGAGTCCCACGTCAGGCTCTCTGTATGATGCCTGCTTCTCCCTCTGCCTGTGTCCCTGCCTCTCTCTATGAATAAATAAGTAAAATCTGGGGCTGCCCAAAGCTGAGGTTTTCAGAGTCAAATTGCATTAAAAAAACTGGTTAACTTGTGGGGCAGCCCGGGTGGCTCAGCAGTTTAGCGCCGACTTTGGCCCAGGGCCTGATCCTGGAGACCCGGGATTGAGTCCCATGTCGGGCTCCCTGCAGGGAGCCTGCCTCTCCCTCTGCCTGGGTCTCTGCCTCTCTGTCTCATGAATAAATAAAATCTTAAAAAAAACAAAACAAAACTGGGTAACTTGCTATTTCAACGCACAATCTTGCTTGTGAAGGCTTCCTGGTGAAGCTTGGCAATGCCCTCGACTCACCCACCCTGGAGTGTGTGCCCCGTTTCCTGTTGGACCCCACCATGGCAGGGAGACTGCTCTTGTGCAACAGACTGGGGCCACCTTGGGTCCTGGAGCAGCACAGAGCAGGACACATGCGGCAGCCGGGGGCCCAAGCACAGTGCCAGGACACCCACCCCACCTGACGCG